TATCTATCTATCTATCTATCTATCTATCTATCTATCTATCTATCTATCTATCTATCTATCTGTCTATTTATCTATCTGTCTATCTATCTATCTATCTATTTTCTTTTTTTTTAGGGGAATCAAATTAGCATTTTTTTAACTATGAAAAAATAGGCTGTGAATTTTTTATGAATTTTCCAAGATGTAAAAGATGTTGAACTGATTTTAGATGTTCAAGCATATAAAAGCAATATAATGAAACTGCACTAGAACAGTTGAGATACCTTTCATATAACTTTCAGATGACCATTAAAAACTAATAAAAAATTGTCATTTCTTTCTTTTTTTCCTTTTTTTTAGGTACTTCAAACGTTTAAAGGAATGTCATTTTGTTGGTGGTTGGCGGGTGCTCTGGTGTGTTTTGTTTCTTCTTTCCTATGAAACATCTATCGTCCTTATCTCCCCTTTTTCTGTTTTATGTGTGTTACTCTCTTGTAACACCTCTAATCCTCTGACGCTCATATGACCTTATGCAGCTGCGAGCGCCGTAAAACTTCTACTGAAATTAAACTCATTTTGTCGATTTTCTAGATAAGGTACCGCAAAACTTCTAAAACAGTTAAAGTCAAAGTCCAAATTTTGAGAAAAGTGATTATTAAGTTAAACAGATATTTTTGAAGAGTAATCATACGTACTGATTTCAAACGAAAATCGTAAAAGAGAATTCCCAGAGCAAAAAAAAAAAAATGAATAAAAGAAACTTCTGTTTTTATTCTTTTAAAAGTGATTATCAAGCTACCGTACGATGAAAAAACAAATTTAAAAATAAAACAACAAAAGATAATTTCAAGCTTTGACAAGTATGACAAACTAGACTGATTGGTCTCTATAATAGGTTTAAAACAACATAAAATTTTTGCATAATGATACTGTGTGATCAGTAGCCTAGTGGTTAGCTTCTCAGACTCTTAACTGTTATATCGTGGTTCGAATTCCGTCATCACAACAGTATTAATAACAACAACAGCACTAACCTCATCAACATAAATATAAACCATAATAGCGTCATCATCATCATCATCATCATCATCATCATCATCATCATCATCATCATCATCATCATCATCATCATTATCAACAACAACAACAATAACAACAGCAAAAGCATTAAAAGCAACAACAACCACAACACCACCACCACCACCACCATCACCACAAAAACCACCAACAACAACAACAACAGATGTAGCACCATAACCACCCCGAAACTGTCCTCACCAACAGAAACACTACCACGACTATTTCACCAGCACCACCGCCAACAACAAGAACAAAAGCAACAAAAGCAACAACAACAACCACAGCAACAACACCACCAACAACAACAATAACACCAACAACGGCCACAGCATCAACAACCACCACCTAAACCACACCACAACAGCAACAACAACAACCATAACACCAACATCATCCATATGATTATCCCCCCTCCC